TATATATATATAATTACTGTAATAGTATGTGTGTTACGGGATTTGCTATGCTTTTTGCATAGAGGAGTTTTCTATTTTTGGCTTTTTATTTATTTTTTTGGGTTATGCTCTTTTGCAGAATGTTAATACAGTATTTGTTCAATGTTTTTTTTACCTTTTTTAGGTGTTCTCTCAATGGCTAATGCAGGGCCGAACACAAATGGATCCCAGTTCTTTATCTGTACCACAAAAACTGAATGGTGAGTGTTTAGTTAAGCCTCTGAGTATAAATGAATGAAAACCAAAATACAACAAATTTAATAAACAGAGAAAGTATAATGATCAGTTTGTTGGCCCATTCACACTAAGTGTTTCATTGAGGTGCATTAATGCAGCCCATTCATTATGAATGGTCTGCCATCACATCATAATGCATGAAAAAACTGCATGTCCCTTATTTAACAACGCAGTACACAGTATGTTATGCGTTGGGTTCTACTCTACAATGCATTGGAGTGCCTTTCAAGATGACCAGATGAATTGCAAAGCAGCACACGTAGAACAGGTATCGTTGCCATGCATTGTGGCAACACGTGTGCTTTAAGGGACATTGATCCAACATACAAGTGTGAATGGGTAATTATGTTGAGTTCAAGCAATACAAAACTTACTGAGTACCATATTGTAATATACAGTATGTTACGAACACAGCCAAGTCATGCATGCCGATTGTTACTGCTTTAAATACTGGTCAATGAGAGTACCTTGCCAATACAATGAAAGTGGAGATCTAGTGTATGTGTTTTTATATATGCATATGGATAGATGTATGTTATGAAGTCATCTAAATGAATGAAAATGCAGAATGTTTTTCACATTTGGGTTCTCCTTGCAATTGTGGTGAAGATCAAAAGCTCAGTATGAATGTAATTAGGTCAAAGTGTGTGCTTGAAATGAGAGGGCCATCCGTCTGACAGTTGAAAATGAACCAGCATTGGATTTTTTTAAAACCATTATGGTTTAAAGCACAATGGCAAATCCATCAAGTAATATCCCTTTAAAAAGGGGGGGGGGGGGG